TGGGACTGCTCACATAACGTGTATCCATAGGTGGCCTATGATAGCTTTGTAGGTTGTATCTTGGTCCATGACGTGAAACGTTGTTTCCAGGGTGACTTCTTCGGCTAGAACAGGTAGCACTATCTCTCTAGAAGTTCGCTCAACTGCATTGTTAAAACCTGTTAGTGTTATGCAATGCGGTATTATTTTATCTTCGAGTCTCATTTGTACAAGGACTCGAGGATGGATAATACACGCGCCACTTCCGTCATCTACCATTATTCTTTTTTACATTAGTATCTGCAATACATAAAGTGATAACAAGAGCATCGTAGTGAGGGAAAGACAAATCGTCGGTATCTGATTTATCGAAGATGATACTATCTTCGAGGTCATTATACCGTTCATGAGTGGTTGACCGTTTGAGTTTATGTGTAGTGGTGAACTTTACATGGTTGATTGTTGTGTCATCACCTCCACCGATGATCATCTGTATAGTACGAGGGGGAGAGGGCAGTTTTGGAGGTCGCTGGGGTTGTTCACGTTCGCGGGCAAAGTTAGCCCATCCTCGGTCGCTCAACAGCTCTTTCAAATGTCCCTAATTTAGCGTTCTTACTACCTCCTACTGCAGTCCTATGCAATCTTTGGTTTTATGACCCCTTCCCTGGTGGAATTCGCAAAGATTGTTTGAGTGCTTGGGTCGGACTTCATCTTTTGCGGCCATTGTACCTTTGTGCCGAGTTTCTCTAGTGTGCACACTATTTCTGAAGGAGAGACACAAAAATTATGAGTAGATAAGAGTGGAGGCATACCTTTTTTGTGTCAGTGTGGCGCTGTATGTTGAGGAGGGGCATCTGTGTGCCGCGGAGGAGGTGGGATGGATGTCCTGATGTAGGGCTGATGTCTTTCTTGGCCAAGATGGGGCCCCAACTGATCTCTTCAACCGTTTTTGCGACGATCTTTCCTTGCTTCAGCTTGAACTGACGTCAACCGTTGGATCGGACCATTGAGGTCGTCCTCGTCGGCCCTCACCTCGGCGTAGTAGGTGTTGTGGATTTCTTCCCAACTAGTGGGAGGGTATTTCATAAGCCTGCTTAATAGTTTTCTGGTCCCTCTAACATATGTGGCAAGCTCATTCTCACCCTGTTAAATCGGGCTAAGAAGTCCCGAGTCACTCGCCGTGCATCTGCCTGACGACAAATATGTCATTTACCCTGGCTTCCGCCTTTTTAGCTCCAGCATGAGCGGTGACAAATTTGTCCTCCATTTCTTTGAACGTTGCTATTGACCGTACTGGTAGTTGTGAGTACCAGGTCAGGGCTCCCCCCTGTTAGGGTTTCGCTGAATTTTTTCAGTAGCACCGATGGTACCTGTTGTTTCGAAAGATCGTTGCCTTTTATGGCTGTGACGTAGTGGATGATATGATTTCTGGTCTGTAGTATCGTCATATATCTTCAGGTATGGTGGCATTTTGAAGGTTTTTGGAATGGCGTGGGGGTTGCTTCCTCATTGTATGGTTGCTCGATGAATCGACCAACGTCCCATTTTGGCAACAACTTTGGGGCACCTGGTATTTTGTCGACCCTTTTTTGGTGCTCCTTCATCTGGTCACGAAGTGCCTTATTGTCATTTTTCATTTCCTCCATTTTCTTTAGAACGGTTGCGAGTGTGTTATTACCTACGTCAACAGTAGTATGAGTGCTACCTGTGCGGGGTGCATCTTGTTCGTCAGCGATCGTCGTGACATCTATGTGTGCAATGTCTCTATTCTCCCTTTGTGTGGGTTTATCAAGTGTGTTGTTCAGAGAGCTTGTTAGCCACTCTTCCAGTAGTCTTCTTACTGCCGGTGGAGCCTCTCCTGTTGTAGACGTGTAGGCTTTTTTTTCGCACAAAGCAGTTACGCTTTCGCGCGGGTGAGGTGAAGTGTCTCTCCTAGGTGTAACATTTGATGTCACATTTTTGTTGTCTTCCCTTCCATCTTCGTTGATGGTGTTCAGGATATTGGTTGTGATACCTACTATCGTTTTAAACTTGCTTCTCTTTTTCCTGCTATTGTTAGTTTATGCCAAGCTAGGAAGAGATGACTATCCCTTTTTATGATCTAGATGAAACTAAAATCTTAACTAAAGATCTCCCACAGACGGCGCCAAATTGTTAACCAAAAGATGTTAAACCATTCGATTAAACCAATCTTATGGTTAGAAGAAGGGTGAATCTCAGTTAAGAATAATAAAATCTAGACCAAGTGATAAAGGAACTAAGCAAGATGAATGACGTTAGCTAATATGTTGAAATCAATTAAATGTTCATAAATGCAACAACTCAAATGCATAATCGAACTAAATGAATGCAGCCGGCGCGGAAAGGAAATAAGTATGAGATGATTGTGGAACCGTTGGATCTTATCAATATCGAATAACGATATATGTTTTGGTTATGTAATCAATGAACAAGGCTGCTCTTGTATTTACTCTCAGATGAATCTTTTACAAAGTGTTCTTTTGTCTTTTGCCTGACCCCCCACTTCTTTACTAACTCTTCCTATTTATAAGGGACAATCCCCCATAAAACCCTAAAAAGTACAATCATAAAGAATATTCGAAAAATATATTCTTACTGTCTCCTACTAAGTTTATACTGTCGTTGACATCTTATTTCGGTTGAACGCTCTTGGTCGTCGTCCTTCGCCACGACGATCATCAAACGTTGCGTCGTGATAACCTCGCTCCTTGTCCTGTCGTAGTTGCCAAATTTGGACCCATACAATCAGGAAATTTGAAAATGAATGTGAAAAATTCTATCACCGAAGGTTATGGTGAGGAAGTAAGTATCCATCGATAGGAAGTTTAGTAGTATCGTGTTTTGTAGGAAATTTCCAACTCGATTCCAAATTAATCGTATTTCAAAAGTTGAACAGTTTGCCTCCTCAATCATCATCATACTCAAGAGTTAAGAGTAACGAAAACCAAACAAGTCAACATGAAAGTTTTGATCTATCTTGAAAATTCACAAAAGCACTTTCAAAGCTTATACATCTGCATTTAATAGTTCTTGGAGAAAAAGAAAACAAGAGAAGGAGACTGACCTAAAAAAGGGGGAAAAACTAAATTAAACAAAAATATTGAGCCTGGGCTTGGTGGCGTCTCAAATGGAACTATATATATNTATAGAGTTGGAATTCTAAAAAAAAGAATATGTACATATATTAAGTTTACACTCATTATTGTCACAAAGAAATATACTAGTAGTAGATATATTGGTGTACTTCAGATCCACTTAATTAAATTCTGACAGTAACCACAAAGAATAAAAAAGGCAAGAGAAAATTAAAAAGGGGTGGGATAAAGAGACAGCCAGCCGATTGTGATTGCCATTGAGAATGGAGAATCTGGTAGCTTGGTTTGGGCTGGAAGTTGTTTCTAATTCTCTTTTGATGATGGTTTGTAGGTTTGATAATAACGTGCATGAGGAAGGCTTTAAACAGGCTCACCTTTGACTTGTCCGATGTAGCTGCAGTAGTAGTAGTATTCTTGAAAGAAACATCCAATTTGTTGCTACTACGTGACATTGTTGTGCCTATGAACTTTGTAATAAATTGCTGCTTTCTGTGAAGGCTGCATCTGAATGAGCCTGGATGGCTGGTTGGGGAGCAAAGGCATGTTCTACTACTAGTCGCTTTTCTTGACGTTGCCATGGGACCTGTCTTAATTTACTATGACATGCTTTGGTTTTTATCAACCTAGCGGCCCTAGCCTAGCTTTAATTCTTTCTCATGCACTTTAGTGAATGTTACTCCCACAGCCTCCGGTCTATAATAAATGACTTTTTGTTATTTAGCATACCCCTTAAGAAAATTCTAATTCCTTAAAAAAAATAGGTATTTTGACTAAATTATTCTTAATTAAATCTGCATATTATTAACTTAACACATTAGGATCTAGTAAACGACACTTAAATAAGGGCAAATTTAACTTCTTAATTATGTAAAAGGATACTTATTTTGGACCAAAATAAAAAAAGGCAAAAATCACTTATTATGGACCGGAAAAAGTAAACTTTAATTAGCTTTAAGGTTAACATCTATAGAATAGACAAATCTGCACATATGCTAGTTTTAGGACAGTTAATCATACAGTAAAGTGATGCTAAATGCTAAATGAGGATTTAGTTAGAAGTCATGAAAATGATCAGAGTTCACATCATAAACTATTCAATAATTCAACATGAAGACTGACCAGCGCAACTATAAATAGGCACCAATGACTTTCCCTGTACAAGTACTTGAGAGCACTAAATGCGTAAATTATGGCTGGATATAACGCTAAAATTAATAACGATGAATTTGCTGCCTAATCACAAATAATGGTCGCAATAATAATTAAGGCAATTATGGATCTACGCCAGGCCATTTACTTCCTTCTTCCCTCCATTTGTCCATTCAAATTAAAGCATTATAGATCCCTCAAATACCGCTAAGATTGCTACAGGATTTTCAAAAAATAGACCCTTATAGTTCTTGATTTTTTTTTTCATTTATCGTTATTAATTTAATTGGTTATGTGGTATAAGTTTTTGATATATTTGCTGCAAAATTCGCAAGATCTCATGTAGTCTACTCTACATATTAGTCCTTCCTTCGTCTGGAGGTGAGCTTTCAGTTGCACTCACAAAATTCAACTGAAGAGTGCATCAATGAAATAAATTGATCAGCGAGATTGTTATCTGCCGGGATTAAGCTTTCTTGTAGACTATACTACTAAAAATTTAAGTTGTAAATGTTTACAGTAGATTAGTTATTATTTTTATCAAACTATCAAATAGTAATGCTTATTAAAAAGATTTTATTATTTATTACCTTATAAGTAACTATTTGATAGTTTGATAAAAACTTACACTGCATTTCTCTGCCTTTCGATAGAAATTCCATCAGAATAGCGATTTCTCTGCCTTTCATGCATTTTGCCCCCCCCAACTTACACTGGAACAAACTACCGTACCTCCAAGTATACATTCGCATTATATATCATGAATCAATAAACATAAACGTGAGGAGCGTTATGTAAGCACAAAATTTGATGTCCATGTACATATACACACAACAATCTGCATCATTCCTAGTGTCAATTGTGTATGAACAACTTCTAGCAATCCCTACAAGTCCCTAATCAACTTGTCATAGACAAACATGAAAGAGACTTTACGTATTCTCATGTCGTACTTAAAGCATGCAATACTGCAGATATAATCTGGTATTAGCCATACTATATACATAAGAAAATAAAAAGAACGTCTTACTGCTTGTCCAAATATTCGAAAAATCACCCTTGGCTTTTCCCTGCGTAAGATTCTTGACCAGATGTAGCATCAACGAGTTTGGTATACTTGCGGTGACGCCTCTCTCTTGCATATAGTACCCAACAAATGAGTGACAGCATTACTGCAGCTGAGACTAGAGCTAAACCAATGTAGACCCACTTACTGTATCGTGTCAAATCAGGACAATGTTCATCATGAATGACACTGACGGTATCTCGAAGGAAAGTGCAGTCAAGTAGTTCGCTAAGGAAAGGCCCCGAATGATACAGGCCGTTGCTAACGTTAACTACAGCAGTCATTTGGTTGTACATATCAGGGGTCAGACGGCCCACGGTGGAGCACACATTATTTGCTGAAACTTGGCAGACATAATTCCTCCAAACCTGCATTAATAGAACGTTATTGAATACATTTCTACCAATTGGTATCAAGCAGGTTTTCTTCGTTTCTCCTACCATTATGCGCAAGCAACATAGAAAGAAGCAGATAATCCATAGGAAATGGAATCCCAACTAAGGCTGATTCCTTAATTCTAGCTGTAATATTAGGTTTCTGAAACATGGACATGGTGTTGACATAATCAAAAAGAACTTATTTTATGTCATTTTTAACCCACCATAATCGCCATCTAGTAAACAAGAAACTTCTCAAAAAGTTCTCTTTGAGCATTTATCTTCATAGTTTGTTTTCTTGAAGTGAAAAATGTTCATATACCTGTGTAGCATTGCTAAGTTCCACCTCACCACTTGCACATTTCCGGTCTGTCTTGTCTGAATTAAACGGATTGCAGAGGTTAGGGACCAATGGACCAGATTGGTTGAAACCGACACCTGAAGGCGGATCAATATTTGAAACATTGGTGATGATCCTGTTAGCCACTCCAACCAATTGGTAGGTGACCTCTTTGCTCTGAGACAATGTTTCTTGTGCAGTAGCAGTGTCCACACAAGGGATTATATCATCAAGTGCCGTATGAGCTGTTGGGTTTTTTGCCCAATCATTCATGGCCACGCATGTGTCCCCCGTTGCACTTAGATAGACAAAAACTATTGTCAGAAATTTTGAAGTATATAGTAACTGAACAAACAGAAACAGAAGCTCACAGAATTAAAAAAATCAGTTTATATGTTGAAGAATTATGAACCAGAATGAGCAGAAGTAAGAATGCATTTTCGTGATAGAGATTTAAAGAACTATTTTCCAATATTGAAAGAGATGATTTGTTTCTAAAAAATCCGTATATGTTAAAGACTCACTCTACACAAGTAAGGAGCTTCAGAACATTAAGTTAATACCTAGTAGAGGCAGCACAACAGCCGTATTCATTTAATGTGTAAAAGATGTATTGTTTTACTCTTTCAATTTGTCTTTTCTATCTTCTATTTTGTTGAAGCCCGGATGGGACAGATATAACAGGACAAATTTGATAGAACTTACTTGTGAAGAACAAGAAATGCACCACATAAGATAAAGGTGACTGCAACGAGGATCCAGCCTACAAGGACTAGGCTGCAAACAACAATATTCCCTTAAACTTTCAAAAAGATAATAGGTTCCTTGTTATCAAGAGAAGTATCTGTTCCAGTAATAAGACTTACATGTATACGAGAACCTGCAGGCCAAGTATAGAGAACACTGCAGCCGATTTTCAAACAAGCATGAGGAAAGATCAGTACCAGTTAATGTGTACTACTATTAACTTTGAAAGACCAGAAAACTTACAGAAACCAAGTGCAGCTAAACCAAGCATTACAGCAGCAACAATGATGAGAACTCGCCTCCTGCAGTACATACCGACAAGGCCATGAGTGAGACATCACAAAGTTCAATATAGTTCACAGGACTTGAATGAATTAGCTGAGAAGTGCTTACACCCAGTCTAAGATAATCATGATATCCTTCTTGTTCTTCTCAGTTTCTGTTTCAAGAGTTTCAGCAGCCGAGCTAATCTTGGTGTCAACCTTGTCAATGTTGTTTTGAACATCTTGAGGTAGAAAGATTTGATTAACTCCAGTGTGCTTGGCAACAGCCAGAATGTTTGACACATTCCTTAAACCGTCAACCGTTTCTCCTGCTTGGTTCACAACATAATCCAATGTATGTTTTGTACCGTCATGAAATTTCCCTTGTCCAGTAAACAGAACAGCAGCACCAACTCTGATATAACAAGGCAGAAATAAGTAAATAAAGTCATAAAATTAATCAATTTGTAATGAAAATGAGATGATTGAGATAGAGTGATTACATTGCAGCAATGGTGAATGCCGAGAGAAAAATAAGTGAAAGTGCATAAGCAGTTCGAGAGTAACCATAGCGTCTTCTCCGGCAGCAACAACAATAGAAACAAACTAGGAGCAGGCAAATGGCACATGCCACAAACCAGAATAAAGCAATGATGAAAAGAGGGGCACCAGTATAAGAAACTGACTGTGTCAAGAAAAGATTTTTATCAGATAGCCAATACGTCGTCAATCATATAAGCTGAAAAGAATGAAGAGATGACTGAAAAAGTGGCATATTGGCATATATATGCTAACAATCAGATAGAAGCTGACAACAAATCTAAGTTACAACGAGAAATTCATCTTAGGTGAATTCCATTTCCAGAAGTAAAAAAGTAAAAGAAAACTCCTATTAAAAGGCAGCAGAGGGTATAAAGCCAGAAGTCGGGCATATGCGACAGTCTCTGGAGAGTTTACAGTAAAACCAACATGACACGGTACAAGGATGTTATAACTACAAGAATAATTGGCAATATTCTCTGTCTCTCTCCCTCATCAATTCTTATCAGAACTCTTAGTCCCCAAAAAATGCACAATCACGTTTCTTAATTGATAATGCTTATAAACAATCACTAAACCACCCAAAAGCAATGTTAAAAAGAACCATAACAAAAATTAACTACGAAGATTTTAAACGAAATAATAATAATCAAATTTCCAACAGAAAAAGGACCTGTAAATGGAATTAAGGGCTGAAAAGAGAACTTACAGCCCAATAATGACTGTTACTGATGTTCCATCCACCAGTGTAGTAACTCCGATCTTCAAGTGGATCTTCTCTATGTGTTCTTTCAGCAGCCAATACTAAAGATGAGTTTCCAGTACCATTGCTCTCTGCCAAAAACCTTTTACTTCTATACATTGGCTCACTGACTTCACCTAAACACAACAAACAGGGCAGAAAAATCAGAATAATCCTATGTGAGCGATCCCCCATTTAGTAAAAGATTACAACTTTGAAAAAAAAACAAGAATAATCCTAAGGTAATTAGCAACCCCATTTAGTAAAAGATTACAACATTGAGGAAAAACAAGAATAATTCTTCCCCATTTAGTAAAAGACAACAACTTTGAGGAAAAAACAAGAATAATTCGAAGGTACTTAGCAACCCCATTTACTAAAAGATTACAACTTTGAGGAAAACCAAGAAGAAAATTCTAGGTAATTAGCAACCCCATGTAACAAAAGATTACAACTTTGAGGAAAAACAAGAGTAATTCTAGGTAATTAACAACCCCATTAAGCAAAAGATTACAACTTTGAGGAAAAACAAGAATAATCCTAAGGTACTTAGCAAACCTATTTAGTAGTAAAAGATTACAACTTTGAGGAAAAACAATGGCTTACCATCAACCAAAGAAGTCCCATTAACGAAAGAAAACGAGAGTGTAGATATTAAGAGCAAGGAAAGTGCAACCATAAGAGGAAATAGGTTCAGCTTTGTGTATGACATGACTGTTTAATTTCTGAGGCACAAGTTTTCAGCCTTGGAGAGAATTGTTTTGAGTTTTTTCTTGAGATAAACGGCTATCCAGTATTACAAGAATGTGGTCCTTGTAAAGGAAGCTCAAAAGGTAATCATTTACCTACTTAAGGATAACATTTATACTATAAAGCAATAGTGGAAAGACGTGTGAGAAGCTGGTGGTAGACTTCTTCCATTCCATATTTTGGTTGGTTTTCACGACAGTTGTTATTGTTAATATAATACTCTATACAAGTGAAGAAAAAAAAAATCTAACATAAAAGTCTGTATTATACTTTTTTTATTAGCACGGCTGCACATTCTATTCACCAACATTCAAATATATGAGAATATTTTTTTTACTTATGTTAAAAATTAAACTCGATATTTCATAATTCTCATCCTCCTATGATCTACGTTGGCCACTATGCTACAAAAACTCTATATTATACATATGATTGGTTTCTGTGTTTAAAATTTACTTTACTAATACAACTCTATATTAGTCTTGAACCAAATGTTATGTGCACGAGGAACTTTTCAAATGTCTATAGTAAGTGGATAAAATAATGTCATTTTTCTTTTAAATTGTTGATTGATAAAACTCTAGACATTTATGTAATCAGTATATGGACATCTTATTTTAAGGACTTAACTCTGTTGACTGTTCATTGAGTTGTTCAGATAACGGCTAGTTGGCTATTGCACAATCTCAAACTTTATTGCTGTCATTATCATTTTTTGGTTAACTTCAATGAATCCATATTAATGACCTTCATTTTGGCCTTATTAATGACTAATTACTAAGTTATGAGTCTTATGACATGTTCGCATTGAAAGTTAACTTATTTTTATTCGGCTAGAATGGGATAGTTTTCATCGTATTACCAAACAGGTTCTTAGAACTTGAAGTCCACGACTAATAGCTTGTTTGGCCAAGCTGTAAAAATTAGCTTATTTTGAGAAGTGTTTTTTCTCAAAAATAATTTTCTCAAAAGTACTTTTGGTGAGAAGCAGTTTGTGTTTGACTAATTAATTTGAAAAGTACTTTTGAGCATCAATTAGTGTTTAGCCAAACTTTTAAAAATTATTTGTAACTGTATTTTTCTTAAAAGTATTTTTTTAAAAAGTGCTTTTGGAGATAAACTATTTTTTTCTGTTTCTCCAAAATTGATTCTACTTCTCCTCAAAAATACTTTTTTTTTCTTTCAAAAACTTAGCCAAACACTTCAATTTTGAAATAAAGTGATCTTAGAATTGGAAAAGCTAGACCAAACAGGCTATAAAACAAGTACCCACTTTGTATCTCAGATATGCATTTGTTTTGCTACGTAGAGACAAATTTTGGTTCTAGTCTTATTGGTCGGCTGTTACCTTAGTAATCAAAGTTTTTCATTTTTTGGGGGTGAAAGTTGACTATGGTTTTCAAAATCTATTTAAAATGGGATTTGGCACGTAAAATTATTTTTTATGTTTCTTAATGAAAAATATTTTGGTTTGCTAATTTATCTGTTGTATAGTTTTCTAGCATTTGATTAGGTACAGAGTGACCTATGGTAATAATAGAAGCTATGATGGGGAATAAACCTTGGGAATATTGTTGTGGTGATGATTTTTAATATTGAATTAATTTCAGCAACAATGTACATGTATTACCGATGAAAAATAGACATAGTAATACGAAGCAAGAGTTACAGATAGTTAAAGGAAGATAACTTACATATGTAGATGACAAGTCTGGTACGATGTATGATATTTCCTTTTGTTAAAAAAAATGATTGACAAAACATAAATAATAAAAATAATAATAGCAATCGGTAAATTTTAGTGCTACATTTGTTTAATTTGATTACTATTAAAAGAGATGAACGGGGAAGGGAATATTACATCATGTGAGCTATCTCAAACCCCAATTTCATAATTCTCTTGCGCTTCTTGTCTAAAATTAAACTGACATTTTGTGTTGCTACCTCCTATCACTTTTACTTGATACGTTTTTGATTTTTCACGCCCTTTAAGAAATAATAAATGAAGTGCATAATTTACTATGATACCCATATTAATTTATGCATATTTTATTGGATTTGAAAAAATGATTTGAAATGAATAATAAATATTGTGGGTATAACATGTAAATTTTTTTTTGTCTTTTTTTGATATGCGTAAAGTGACAAGTAAAAATAAAAATTTATTTTTAGTATACCTGTCAAGTAAAAGCGAACGGAGGGAGTAATTAATATTCTTAAGATTGGAAAGCATCCGAAGCAGTAGTTGTGTTATTTTGTGCTAGATATTAAATTGAATTGACTTGTTCATATCTTTAAGTTTGGATCAAGAAAAATAATTACATAAATAAATGCCAAGCAACACTTATTTTAATCCCACCACACTTCCAGATGGCTCTTTCTTGAAGTGACAAACAATATTGTAACCAATATTTAAATATTCATCTTTTTGTTTTACTACGAGAATATAAGAATGTCATAATCAAAGCTTTGCTTTAATGACTTACGTAATTTTTTAAATTTCAATTCAGACTAGTTTTCTTGTATACGTCGTTATGTCCCAGATTCAGAATCCATTTATCAATAATATTTCAGTATTTATAATTTTTTTCCCATAATCTTAGTGGTTCAATTGTCCGCAACTCAGTTAAGGAAAAACGACGCGGTTTCTTTTAGAGTACAAATATGATTTTCAGAATTTTTTTAATGTAAAGTGCAATAGCAATTTCAGCCACTAAACAATTATTTATTATTTTTGGTATAGACCCAATAGTGTTGCATATGCTAATGCTGAAAAAAAGTTAGCTTGTTGGGTTGAGAAGCAGCTTTCAACATACCATTGGGTCATTAACAAAACTCTACTTTTTGTTTGATAGGATATGATAGTGGAAATGGACCCTTCTTTCAGCTCATATCAATAGAAGCATTGCTATAAAGAAGGTATGTATAATTCTACAGATATTTTCAAGCTATTCTTCCTCGTTTAACCAAAAGTATATATGGTTAGTATGTATTTTATTATATACATAATAATTAAATAAGTGAATAGTATGGCATGAAAAAAGTTACTTTCGAAAAAAAGTAGTTGAGTTCTAAAAACTAAAATCACATTCTGAGCAATCCAATTATAAATTTAATTTTAGATTGCGAAACGCTTTTTTGGAGGTATAAATTATTATCATCCGGTACTTAGGATTTACTTGTTTGGCTAATCTAAAATCGTGTCAAGCAGGGTCCATTTAAAGGAGAACCGCTTCCTATTAGAGATTTCTTTATTTTCAGATCTTGAATACGAGAGTTCTCTGGTTAAGAATAGACGAATCGAATCCATCCTCATAAATAATTCACATTTGAAAGCTAAAAAGTACTAGTTCTTATTTTCAAAAATATTCTCAAACGGGCTTGATGTAAGATTTGAGTAGCTCGTTAGCTACCTCTCCCAATCAAGTGCAATTTGTATCTATACACGTTTTTTTGGTCACGTTTTAACTTGTGTTTACTTTGCAAAAGAAATTGCAAGCGTACCCACTTTTTCGCGTAGCTTCAGCATACAGGGCTGAAGTAGCAAAGACAATCACGCAAAACTTCAGCATTCTAGTAGACGGGACTGAAGTTTTTGTTTTTGTAACTGGCGAACTTCAGCAGCTGAAGTTTTTGTTTTGTAACTGGCAAACAAGTTTTAGCCTATTTACACCATGAGTAATCTTCCCCTTGTTCATAATGATGAAAATCGTTGGGCTCATAGTGCCTTTCAGTTGGTCAAACATATGGAAGGGAAGAAAAATAAGCAGTAACAGATTGATGTCGTAATTACATAAACTTCATCAATTGAAATACAATTGAACTACGAACTACAAATTAATAGATATCCGCATACCAACTTTCCCAAAACTCTGCATTCAGAAATAAAAATTAATCTAGCAATAATTAGGGTAACAGAAGAATTAACTTACTGCAATACTGGAAGTCGGTGGATTTAGCTGAAGACAAAGGCTAACATGAGCCTAATTGGTCAAACATATGGAATGGTGGTAGTATTAGAGAATTAATCATAGTGCATTTCAGTTGTTAATAGAAGAAGAAAAAGAAAACGAATGAGAAGGAGGAGGAGAAAGGGGCTGAAGTTGTTTAAAAATTGGGTACAGGTTAAAACTTTTTTTAAAAATGGGTATAGGTTAAATGGCGGCGACCAAATAGGGTGCCCCATGCAATTTTTACCCCAATCAAGCATGCGGCTATAGGAGCCATGGCAATCCAACCATAAAATAGCACTGGCTAGTCAGTTTTCGGACTGGTCATTCAAAAATAGTCAGCGTTTGCAAAGTCATTAAAAAATAGCCACTATTTTGCTGCAACACGAAAAGTTCCAATATAATATACTGGAGATCGCTGCATCCGTGAAAAATTCCAGTATATTATACTGAAGTTCCAGTATATTATATTGGAACTCCAGTATAATATACTGGAGTATAATATACTAGAGTTCCAGTATACTTATGCTGGAACTCCAGTATAATATACTGGAATATTTTTCCAGATTTTGAACAGTGTTTTCATTCAGATTTATCTTTACATGAAAAGCGGCTAAATTTCGATTATTTTTGAAACTGTGGCTATTTTTAAATGACCACTTGTAAATCTGACTATTTTTGAATTTCTCCCAATCCAACTTCATCGAAAGCCCAACAAGAAAGAAAATAGGGAAAACTACATAATATAACCGTTCTCAAAAGTAATAGTCGGTAAATTTTATATTTTTGTATATAATATACAAAATATATATATATATATATATATATATATATATATATATATATATATATATATATATATATATATATCATCAATATATATTTTTTGTATATTTGTCTAATGATGTTACTTATTTTTTATCGACCCGCCAAATGTGTAACTTGCCCAAGAAAATATTTGAAGACAGATTTAGATAAGCTTTTAAAGTTTATGGATGTTGGCGGTGAATAGAGGTGTCAAATGAGCGATTGATTTACAGTTGCATCAGTGGCGGCCCTTCCATAAAGCAAGTAAAGCAACCGCTTTAGGCCCCATATTTGTGAGAGCCCTATTTTTTATTACACTTAATAGACTATGTATAAAAATTTTAAAAA